GCCCAGCATGATATAAAACATCATGGTTATAGTCAAACAATGCGGTTTTCTTCTCGTAGAAGATTTTTGCCATTCCACGGCACAGAACTCGAGTTAAAAAAATCCTTAAGAAGTAACCGGTTTGACATTTGCTGAAGATGCAGGGGTCTTGTGGGATTTCGGCCATTTCAGTTTGAGGATATTTTGATTTAATCGGGAACCTATCTTCTTCTGCGCAACATGAAGGATGGATGTAGTGGATATATGTGTACATGACATGCGTTTTTTTCCAGAGATTGACTGATTTTACCATTCTGAGCCAAGAACTTCTCAAAACATGTGATAACACAAAATTCTAAAAGACCAAGTCACAGTTAACCCAATGCCCGTGCCCCACAACCAAAATGTCTGCCGCCTCACATGAGCGCCATAGAAGAGCGCCATTGACGCCCTAAGGTGGCCTTCAAAGGGGTGTTGTCACTTGTCGATTAGAAGAGCCGCGTGCGTCTAGTGCCGGCCCCCTGGGTTCGTCCCTGCATGACTGCTATGCGGCCTAAATAAAAAGCTTGTGAAGGGAATCCAAACATTAAGAACAGACCTCGTCTTTCGTCAAAATAAAACGGACTAGATCCAGTGAGGAAAAAATGGGGTGGTATATATATATATATATATATATATATATATATATATATATATATATCCATGGGGGACAGGTTACCGGGCGCTCAGTTTGGCCCCCGAAAAAATTGCAAAAATTGACGCTCCTGACGCGGTATGTAAGATTCGGAAACCTTTCCGTTTTTTTAGGGAGCAGTATGGTGTTTAGAATTATATATACAATATATATGTATATATATATATATATATATATATATATATATATATATATATATATATATATATATATTACATAGGAGATAGGCTATCGGGCGTTCAGTTCGGCCCCCCCAAAAAAGGATTTAAAAATTGACCCCTTGACTCAGTGTGCAATATTTGGAAACCTCTCCATTTTTTAGGGAGCAGTTTGGTATCCAGAAGTTTGCTCACGTCTTAGATAGTCAAGGCCTGGCTTCGTCACTTATCCAATAACCTGCTAAACAACACCGAATACAACAGTTTCCAGTGAACGATATACGCATCAGTGTAGAAACTACGCGGTAATCTTCCGAGAACCAATGGACGCAGCCGCATTTCTCACCGCACACCTATCCAGCGGCGGCATTGAGTCAGCTGACCTTTACCCGCCGCTCAAACCGGCTCGCAGACCGACACACTGTCGCGGGGACCGCGTCGCCAGAGGGCAGGCGGCTGGTGGTGAGGGACAGCCGGCACAACAGCGCCATGCGGCGGCCCCGGATGTTTCGCGACGGGCTGTCACCAGTGGCAGATCTAGCCTGGAGTTGCTTTTTTTTGGGGGGGGCAACCGTTCGTTGGGGGCCAACCGTTCGAAACCATTGTACAAAGTTGTGTTGCACCAACTGTGGGTTTTTTAGGTTTTGCTCTATTTCTGTTAACCTACCCCTGGATGTCTGGATTAGGATGATGGATCACCCAGTGACAACACACATACTCCCTGTCAAGGATCTAGATGGTCATAAACTTTAACTGCATTTATTCATAATTACTTTTTCACAGAAAGATGGGTACCTATCTACCTACCTACAGACCGACATGACCTACAAGCAGACCTACCAACAGGCCACACACAACAATACAAATGCACAGATTGAGATAGGTACACAGATCAAGAAGTATGCAGGTCATGTTCTTTAGTGGGCGGGTTAACAAGGGCTGAGATGATTAAAAACGTTTTCTGGTTCTTGAACGGTCCTCATACAATGCTAACGCTCAACAATTTAATCACCCACGTGCTCATCAAACACGATACTTGCGCCGAGTATGACTAAGCCGCGTCAACACGCGTTTTTTGATATTCAAATCGCTGCCACATTTTCTTCATTAAGTTTTTTCCCGAAACAGAAAGAAAGAAGTGTTTGATACCGCACCATCAAAGTTAAAACAGACGGTAGGTAGACGAAACTTTTATGAAGTTTTGGGAATGTTTTTTTTTGGGGGGGAGAAACATACTCACAGAGTTTTTGGGGAAGGGCCATGGCCCCGTGCCTCCTCCCCCCCCCCCCCAGGATCCGCCTATGGCTGTCAAAGGGATCTTGCCGCAGGCGAACGATAACAAAGGTCATCACATATGACATTACGGTGGTCGGTCGTGTGGCGCCGCCCAGCTTAGCAAATGTCAGTGTCTGATGTGCTTTGTTCTGTTGCGTGTTGCCAACTCGCTATGCCAACTGCGGAAATTTCTAGGGCTCAACCATGCTCCATATATGATAATGTTACTGAAGTTACGCACCCGTAAAACGATACAATCCTCCGGTAGTGGCTCACAGGTTTTCACCTAATCAGTAGCAATCTGCTAGTCAAGAAGGTAATAACACAAGATTAAGACAAGTGAAGTGCAGGCCTATCGCCAACAGCCACTTACTCAACTGCCATGTTTTACTTCTTTACCCCATAGTGTATGATCCATTTTAAGTACAGTTTACGCTCATCTAGCGTGCAGTTTATCATCATCACATTAGCGTACAGGCGGTCGGCAACTAGCTCGCATGTGGTTTTGGTTGTAGTACTCTCTAAGAATTTCGATACATGATTGCTTAATCACATGGGGCAGTCTGGAAATGTTGCATAATGGCAACAACCTCATCTCTCTCAGTTCGAGCCGTTTTTAACCAAGAAAATTCTGAAGAACACATATTGAATGCAGAGCTAAATCTCGATGTATCCACGTTACAGGGGCACGAGATGACTACACGTTGAGGGAGGAAAGAACGAAAAGTGAGATTGGCAAAAATGTGGGACGGTGCGGGCGGCAGGCGGGCGGCAGGCGGACAATGCATGTAAGCGTGTCCAAAGATCGATGTCAGATCTCGCTAATCAAAGCAGATACCCGCATGAAACTAACTGCATAGTGTAGGTAAGCATGTTCGTATCGATAGACAACCTGAACACTGTTCTACTGGTGAATGCGCCGGCAGTCGACCGAGAAACGGCTAGTCACCTTTTAAAAAACCGACCTCGATTATAGCGTGCTGTGGCTGACCATGGCGTGACGGACTGTGAAGACAGCATAGTGCAACACGTAGTTATCGATTTCGTCGATTGAAGCTTGACTACAGGCCCAAACGTAGCGAATTTGTAGGCAATACCTGCCCTAAATTTGTGCATAAAATCAAAATCCAATTGTCATTTGCCTGCTAATTTATAAAATATGGCTTTCCCAGCACATTGCCAGCACATTTTTGTGAAAGTCTCCCAAAATTGCATGCTCTATGCACACCTTTTTTGGTATCGCCCCCATGGGAAAACACTCCCAGCCAGCAACAGGGCACCGCACTTGTTCCGTACCCTGAAACGCGTTAGGCTTTTTTGCTAGAACCAATTCCGACATAAAATTAGGATGCAACGTGAACGATTATTTTAATGGACCAGAAAGAGAACTAAACAAAAAAAAACAGTGTCACATTTAAGGACTGACCTTTAAGCAATGTTTTAGTACTATGCCATGACAGAGTCTCACACCCATCCATTATTACGTGCATTTACCAACATGGAAAAAGGTACTTTGAAGGCAGCACATGGTTAATATCGTGGCATAGTTCTCGCATTACTTGGAACTGTCGATAGTGCTACAAGAAGTCAAAGAAGTTTCTCGTATTTGCTCAAGCATTGAAGGGCATCGACTCTTCCGGTGATGGAAACTGACAGCTGAGAGGTTAAAACTTGCGACTTGAATATTCATAACGGCATACAGCGGTAAACAATCGGTGGATGAGATAATCTGACCTGGATGAGTTAAGCTGATCAAGAGGAATCCCTTTTGTACCAGCGAGCAGATAGCTGAAAGCAGGGACAGCGCAGCAGGGGAGGCAGAGGGAACAAGAAGCAAGAGTATGTGTTTTCCCCATCGCTGATTTTTGGGAGGCCTCTTTTTCCCTAAATAAATGCATTGCAGCTACACAGAGCGTGCCAAAATTCAGATCAAATAGGCCCATTATTGAGATCATCGGCAAGGTCCCACCCCTGAAAAATCATGCCCTTCCAACTTAAGACCCGTGGCGCCGCCCCTGAATGGTAGCAAAAAATGATTTTTTTGAGATTGGATAAAATAGCACTGATTGCATCCCGCGGCATCAGCGTGCCGTGCATGACCCATCTAGCATAATGCCCGAAAAGTAAATGCATAATTCCTCACTGAAAGTTACAGTCCAACGCACAAAATTGAGAGAACCCGGCCTGGCTAAGCGGGTGTAGCCACAGGGGACTGATAAGGGGACATTTCAGCAAACTTCTCCAGAACTGGTGGTTTGTCTCCTCCACTTTTGCCCAATGAATGCATGTTTTGACTTCTTTTTATGCCGAAAACGTCATTTGCGGGTCAGATTGCCCCGCCCCTCAGATTTCAGTTTCATCTCTTCAATCAAGATTTGTCCCATCACGATTTGAAGGGTGCGGTCGCCCTTTGGGCATAAGTGACAGGGCTGTAACGTAACAAAACTAGTAGGGTTGAAAATCCCCTGGAAGGATTCGGGCTTACTAAAAAGTTGCTTTTAAGTTCGACATGTAAAAATTTGAAATATTCTCCCTTGATTCACATGTTGTAGCCGTCTTCCGGGAGTTTCTCTTGGCGCGTAATGCTATGCAGGCCTTGTGACTGAAGATGGGTTCAGTGGGTGGCCATGACTGACGGCAGGTACGTTATCATGAACGTGTTTTAGCTGATGATGTTTGGACAAAACACAAAGTGCAAAGCAAAAGCATTTCGGATGCTCAAAATTTTCTAAGACTGGGAAACTGCTCTGTGGAATCATAAGGCCTGCTCTCTCTGGGAAAACAAAATAAGAAAACAAACATTTTGATAGACACAATCCCTTCAACCCAGCCAAGATTCCTTGAACATTCACAGCGATGCGGATGCAGCAGAGACACGAGTTGACAAAGCTTACTGGGCGGGTGGGAGGCCGAGCAGACGCCGGCCAGCGCCAGCAGGCAGACGATGGTCAGCACCGAAGCACGCATCGCTGGGAAGTGACAGCTGTCCACGGCGGTGGCTCCCCATCCGCTGGCCCCCACCGTTTGCGCCAACCGCCCACGGCAAGCGTGACGCTAGGGTAAAGGTCAGCTGACGGCCGGCCCGTCACCTGGCGTGACTCGGGACGGGTCACCCTCGCGACAAACGGGGGTGATTGACGCCCCCATCACAATGATGGGCAACACTTGTCCAAAAGGAAGGTGCGATGAAATTTTATCACGTTGGTTACTGACAGCTATCTGGAAGCGTTGTATGAGGGGGAAGGTGTGCTGTCCAAATAATCACAGTCACTCATTTTCAAAGGTGTGCTTACGGAAGACTTCATTGTCAACCAAGACAAATGAACACGCAGATTAGCGTGTGATTTGTGTGATTAGTGTGATTTCATCGGCCAAACAGTTTCCTGAAAAGAAGTCATCAAATGCCCAAGACGCGTCAACTTTTGAAATTTTCCTTTCATATCGCTCATGAATCAAAATGAAATCTGGGGATGCACAAATCATGAAGTAGCCTGGTGCTGTTGCTTACTGTTCACTGCATAATAAGGGCTTGAAAGGAGTGAAATTATGTTGCCTTTTACCTGCTGTCGTTGTCTGATGATATAGTTGAATTGCCCAGTGCTATTAACAGTGCAGTGCTAGTGCATCCCAGTGCAGTGCTATTAACACGACCGACAGGACTTCAGGGTTTACCAGAGCATGTATTGCACAGCGCAGTGCAGAGCACAGTGCAGTGCCAGTGCATCCCAGTGCGGTGCTATTAACACAACTGACAGGACTTCAGGGTTTACCAGAGCATGTATTGCACGTATGCTCCAAATGTGGACAGCCCCTTTAAGACGCGAAGACATGCTTGATAATTCGGCCTTTTTGGGATTGAAGTGTCGTTTAAGTGCTGCATTATTCGGCGCTTCAAGTATCTATGCAAGCGCAATAAACCTCATCCCATTTATCTATGTTTTCAGATACATTTCTTCGTGTGCTCTTTTTCTGCGCCGCGCTGCACGGTGAGTGATCAATGTGTTGTTCAATTGCTTTAAAATCTAGCTCATTTTTTAAGAACGGATCTAAGCGAGCACTTATTGATTGTAGGTATTTTTGGAACCACGGCTATCGCTAAGCAGTAATCGTTTTGCGGGCTCTGCCCCTACCATCCGATTGTACATTCGCAAGTCAACGGAGAGAGTTCGGAAGTGAAAGTTTAACTTACCGCAATGCTTCGCACGGCCCGTCCTGCCCTCTGACGTCATCCAACCACTGGCGTAGCTGCTGCCACCCGCTACGGTCCATATCTGTCTAGCAGAAATGGCCTTCCCCTCCATACTTACCTCCCACCTGCCAATGTTTATGGGCAGGACACAAAACCGGCATATAACGCAAACACGCAAGTTCTCCGAAACGGCTCGCCTGATCGCCTTGAAACATTCACCAATCCATCCCTGGCAATGAACTGATCATGAGGAGGCAATATGGAGACATGACCTGAGATCAAACACCTCAAAAACGCGGAGGGAAAATTTGCATGCAAATGCAGAAAACTCATATCTCAGAGCTTACTGCACCGATAGTTGCCAAATCTTCACCACTGGATGCGTCATACCTGATTCCCTCTTGCAGCTCTAAATTTGTTGACCCAAGATTAGGTCAGAAGTCGCCAAATTTCACAAAGTCCAAAATTTTTACTTGCAGACTACTCTTACCTCAGACTCTAACACACCGATGGCTGCGAAACTCTACCATTCCAGCACGCCATTTACCCTGATTCTCTGTTGGAGCTGCATGAATGGTGTAATTCAAAGGCACAGGAACGCTTCAAAAAGTAGGAGGGGGAGGGACAGGCTCAGGGCGTACTTCAGGAACTTCTGGAAAGCAAACCCGATCCCTAGGGGGGGGGGGGGGGGGTTAGAGATGGAGGCTATTATCGCTCCTTATTCAAATGTCATGGCTGCTATGCTAGACATGAACCTAGAGCTGTTTCGCACTGGAGCACGGTCTTGCCTATTCGACTCATCTATGTCATTCGACGAACAAGGCCATGCAGCTTCCCCAGATTGTTCCTCCGTTTCAAAATTGTCTTTCCTGGGGAGACAAAATTCCAAGAGCGGGTGGGCATTTTAGGTCATTGAGGAGGCATCTGACTCCACCGGGTAAATACCAAAATACGGCCTAGACATAGGCTGGTGAGAATTTTGAAAGTGAATCGATAGCTCGCGGTGTAACAGATTTGTATGCACCTTCATTTCGCCGGCTGCTTTTCAAGAGATAAAACTTGTCGCGGCATTTAAGGCGGAAACAAATTCGGAATCTTGAAACTGCCAAAACAATGTGGCAAAAGCCATACAATTGCAGATTCTCTTTTAAAAACCAAGCAACAGAACGAATGCCCTTCTGTCATATCTTCCTTATCTGGGCCCTGCTCCCGTCCGCCGTCGGTGGCCACTGCCCTGGCCCGGCTGTCTCCCACATGACTGACTGCAAACTGATCGTATGGCTGTTCCCGTATGACTGACTGCGAACTGATCGTATGGCTGTTCCCGTATGACTGACTGCGAACTGATCGTATGGCTGTCTCCCGTATGACTGACTGCAAACTGATCATATGGCTGCTTTGGTGCATATTCCTGGATCAACATTACTACTAATCGGTGTGTAAATCCGATGTTGCACACCTGCATTGACATCTTTTCCGAATTAACTTTGCTCACACCACACCACCACCAAAGAAAAAAAAGCCTCGGGAAGCTGCCTACCTTAGGTATGAATTGGACCGGTGAACGTTTAATTACCCATCATGTAATGTAAACAACTTTATCTGCTTTTGTGTGTAGGCTGGGGTGCAGCCAGAGCATCGCCAAGGGAAACACAGTGTTGGCAAAAGCCCCTCTTTTGGTAACCACCGCACTCAAAAGTCCCCGGATATAGCTAACTTGTTAACAAGGGACACGATTTTCTTTGTTTTCTTGTTACTTTTACCTTGTAAGCAGAACATAAACCAGAATCCACCATGAGATCAATTCCATTTTTTTAGGTCGATAAACTGCAGGAATCAGGTGTAGAACGACCGTATAGATCAAATCAACGGTATCCATTATTTACAACGGCTTGTTGGACTGTTTCTAAACCGATAGAATTCAGAAGGCATCTCAGAATTTTTATCTCGGTTCCACAGACATTGAGGACATCGCGAAGGTAGACTGTAAATCGACATGTTTGACCGAAATTCAAAGATGAAAATTTGATTGTAGATCGACTGGTCAGCAATGTGTATTAACATGGTTGAGCCATGTTTGTCTAGACATATTCAGAATTTAGTCGGAATGGCTTAGTGAGGTAATTTATGGAACGTATTTTTTTTAACATGCACGCTCGCAAATCTGAGCAAAAAAACCTCGGCACTAGACGTCGCAGACTCCATAGTCCGCGGAGCGTTAGCCCAGCAGTTCACTTTTAGCCGTGGCACACCGGTGGACGAAAATGATGCCACCTCTGAAATAAATACCTTTAAACACTTAAATTGGAGAGTAATTCAAGTTACGTGACGCAATTTTGAGCACGCGCACTCACAAATCTTAGTAACAAAAATCCGACACCAGGCGTTGCAGTCTCCGTAGGCCGCGCAGCGTCGTCTGAGCAGCTGATACTGCGCCGTGGCCAACGCGTAGACGAAAATAATGACGCTTCTGAAAGAAGTATCTTTGAATGCCGCAGGACATCAAATCTTACATTTAGCAGGCAGAGTGGGCGCATGTTTCACGTGTGCCATTTTTATGCTGATGGTAGGAACAGATTGGTCCTTAAAGTGCTGGGAAGTGGAGCTGGAATCTGGTGGTGGAACTGGAAGAGTAAAGGTACACTCTCTATTTTTTGTGTTTCTGTAACTATTAATCTATCCAGAAGACATTAATGCGACGCCCGCCGTGTGGGGACACTTGCAGTGGCCGACGCCGTTTGGTTTTGCGGAAACTACAACCCAGGCCATCGCTGGCCTTGCTCCCGAGGTTGCGGGCGGGCATGCGCATACTTGTTGATGTAATTTGTTTCACTAATCCGTGCTGAAAAACGAACGTTGTCAGGCAAACTGTTGAGGGCGTTGTTGGTTTTTCAGCTTATTTTGGCATACGCTATTCAAAATGATAAGACTCCCACCGTATTCAACGGTAATGAGACCCTTCATTTTCTTCCAGACGAGAGGCTCCTTGAGTAAAACACCGGAGGCACATTACCATTTCCGGTCAAGGGCTGAAGGGCTTTTCTGCCAAATCACAAAGTGTCTTCTGGCTGTCATTCTGGCGACACGGGGCGGGATCTTCTGGTCGATCTAGAGGCCATTAGAAGCATATATCATATCACATTGCTCCCCTCCCTGACACCGGAAGTCTTCTGACCGGTGCAGTTGGTCCCGGGTCAGCACAGAAACCTTCATTGACGGAACAATATCCCTGATCGTCGCAGGTGGTGCAATAATTGTCACATAGACTTCAGTTCTTTCCTGTGCTTTTCAGAGAATGCAATGACTCCCTGAACGTAAATTGTACATGAAATAGAGTCCCAAACTTGCATCAATGTCAAATGCGCGATCCTCCTAGAATGGTCAAAATTCAGTCACAGTCGCTTACTGATAAAAGGCTATGCAACATGATTTTGGGCATGCGCACACTCTTGTCATAACAATAGCCTCGACGCCCGGCGTTGCAGTCTCCGTAGGCCACGGGGCGTCGGCTCCACGGCTGTGACGCTAAGCGATGGTCAATGGGCAAACGAAAAAGATGACGCATCTTGAGAAAGAGGACCAGTGAACAAGGTAAATGGGTATGTGTGTTTAATATAGTGCAGAAGTAAGCTAAATACCACTTTAAACTGAAAAGTGGGGGGCTAGTTAGCACTACCGGCCGCTCTGGCCTCTCTGTTCCTACACCCATGGTGCCCTTTACCATTGTGCCTTTTCCTCTTATGTTCATTGACAAGAGAACGTGCAGTTTGGTTAAGCTTGCATGATGAGTTTGAATTTCTCCTT